TAATAATAAAATATCTTTTTTTCAAAAAGAGATCTTCTTATAACAATTTTTTTAATTTAATATTTCCCATAAAAATCACATATTTGAATGGAAAGGCAGCCTACTGAATGGGAGAAGATATTTGTAAATCATATATCCAATAAGGAGTTAATATCTAAAATATACAAAGAACTCATAGAACTCAACACCAAAAAATAAATAATCCAATAAAAAATGGGCAGAGGGTTTAGACATTTTTCCAAAGGAGACACACAGATGGCCATCAGACACATGAAAAGACACTCAACATCACTAATCATCAGGGAAATGCAAATCAAAACCACAATGATACATCACCTCACACCAGTCAGAATGGCTGACGTCAGAAAGACAGGTGTTGGCAAGGATGTGGAGAAAGAGGAACCCTGTGTGCTGCCGGTAGGAATGTAAATTGGTGCAGAAACTGTGGAAATAGTATGGAAGTTCCTCAAATATTAAAAAGAGGAATAATATCATACAATACAGTAATTCCAGTTCTGGGTATTTACCCGAAGGAAATGAAAACATGAATTTAAAAGGATACAAGCACCCATATGTTTAGTGGAGCATTATTTACGATAGACAAGATCTGCCAGCAACCCCAGGGTCCACTGATAGACAAATGGACACCCACCCCCACCCCCACACTGGAATATTACTTAGCCATTAAAAAGGATGGCATCTTGCCATTCACAACAACGTGCCTGGAACTAGAGGGTATTATGCTAAGTGAAATAGTCAGGTAAACACAAATAGCATATGATCTCATTTATCTGTGGAATCTAAAAAACAAATGAACAAACAAGCAGAAATACATACACTCACAAAAATAGAGACCTGGTGGTTGCCCGAGCAGAGGGGGGTGCGAGGATGGGTGAAAGAGGTGAAGGAGATTAAGAGCTGCACACTCACACTCCCAGGAACAAAATAAGTAAGTCACAGGGATAAAGAACACAGCATAGAGAATACAGTCAATAATACTGTAATAATTTTGTGTCTGTGACAGATGGTGACCACTTAACCTTAGTGAGCATTTTGTAATGTACGTAACTGTCAAATCAGCATGTTATATATCCACTATGTTATACACCTAATGTAATGTTGTAAGTCAACTATATACTTCAATTATGGGGCGCCTGGGTGGCGCAGTCGGTTAGGCGTCCGACTTCAGCCAGGTCACGATCTCGCGGTCCGTGAGTTCGAGCCCCGCGTCGGGCTCTGGGCTGATGGCTCGGAGCCTGGAGCCTGTTTCCGATTCTGTGTCTCCCTCTCTCTCTGCCCCTCCCCCGTTCATGCTCTGTCTCTGTCCCAAAAAATAAATAAAAAACGTTGAAAAAAAAAAATTTAAAAATACCCCACACGTTTCATCTGTATTTTCCAGTTGAGCTCTAACAAGCATGTGTTAACAATTCTAAAATCTCCTGTTACCTGTTTTTATACTCCACATTTCATTTCTGTTTTAGTTCAGATGAACATTCTCTCTTCTTGATTAAAATGACTGGAAGTCTGTTTTATGTTGTCATTGTTTTTCAGAGACGCATTTCTTTGATGTTCTCTCTAATAAATTGCTCTCCTAATTCACTGTCTCCTCTTAGTTTGTCCTTTCTTTATCCTACAAAGATATCTAATAAGATTGCCTTATTCTTTTTTCTAACTTCGTTAAATGAATCTTTTATTTCATTTGCTTTCTTTTATAAAAAAGGAAAGAATTTGAAGCTACGCATATCTTAACAATAGCCTATAATTTTTGATACGTAGTGTTATTTTCTTATATGTCATATAATCGAAAATTTGTCTCATCCTTGTTCTGGGTTCCCGAGATAGAGCTTTTAAACCCCTGGAGATTCCTGAGTGGTTAAGTGTGTCTTTCTTATTCATGAGGGGTCACTGGACCACACCCGAGTTTATGCTAAGATGACTTGGATGGGGACTGGTCATGTTGGTAAGACCCATCGTGTGATTAGAGGGCCGCTCGAGGCTTTGAGCCACGTGTTATCAGCCCAACACCCCCCCCCCCACCTCTGGGAGAAGGGAGATTGAGTTCAATCATGTGGCCAATGAGTCCATCAGTCACACATATGCAATGAAATCCCAGTAAACACCGAACACTGAAGCTCTGCTGAGCATCCTGGTTGCTGAGCATATTGACGTGTTTGGGGGGGATGATGCGACCTGATTCCACACGGAGAGGGCACAGAACCTCTCGCGGTGTGTTTCTCCACTGACTGGTCTTGATTTGTATCCTTTAGAATAAACTGTAATAATAAGTATAGCAGTTTCCTGAGTTCTGTGAGTCTGGTGAACTGTTGAACCTGAAGGAGGTCGCAGGAGCACCTTTGGATTTGTAGCCAGATGGTCAGAAGTGCAAGTAGCCTAAGGACTCCCAAACCTGCAGCTGGCAAAGGACACGAGAGTAGTCTTGTTGGGGACTGTGCCCCACACCTGTGGAGTGGGTACTAACTCTGGGTGGTTAGGGTCAGAATTGCACTGCAGTCAATACATTACTTAATAATTTACTTTTTTAAGAAAGAATATAATTTAATCATTCGCTCTAGCAAGTTGGTATTCTTTCCACCTTCAGATGTAAGTCAAACCAGTCACTTATGGAGTGTTTTGGCCTTTTTGTTGTTGCTGCTGAGATAGGGAGCAGAGGTGTAACCAACCCGCCAACACATAATCCAATGGTCATTTCGCCAGTTATGAGTCTACTCAAACAAGTCACTGGTTTCAACTTCTTTCTAAATATAGATTTTTTTTTAACCCTGTGTGTATGGGTGCTAATTTGATGGTGAGAGGTAGAAATAAAGTTACTGGATAGGAGGTTAGCATATAAAATGGCTAATACAATAAAATAGTAATATTCTCTTCTGAGGCCAAAGAAGACCATGTCTGGAAAGTAGATGAAAGAAATATTCTATTAAAATTGCTCCTCTGCATGCATTATTCAGTGCTTCAGGATGAGAGTGCTTACACAGTTGGTACTTGGTTGGAATGGCAGAAGCCTCCAGAAAGGTGGGCCGACTAGGGTACCAAGAACTGTTTCTATTTTTAGGAGAGGTCTTTCTTAAATGAAAGTATGGTCAGAGTGAAAACTTCACAGCTATGGTGGCAAACACTCCCGAAATCAGGCATAGCACTACGGGAAAAGGTGCTACAGACGGGTCACTGGATGGGCCAAAGGGACCTTTCTGATTAGTCAATATTTTCTGAATGGGCCTTTTTCCCACGCTCTTACTCTGGAGGATTATATCTGAGATGCGTGGAAGCCCACTGCTAGGAATTCCCAAAGGCGAGAACATATTTAAAACTATGATTAACATGTTCAAGAGCAGAGATGAAAACCATGGGAAGAAAACACACCCATTTTTCTCTGTTGAAGACGGAGAACTGCAACAGAGAATTGGAATGCATAAAAAAGAATCAAATGGTTATTTTAGGACTAAAAAGGTATACACCGCTTAAAATGAGGACTTCAAAAGATGTGTTTAAAAGCAGATTAAACAAGCAAAAGGGTAAGAATGGTAAATTACAGAGCATGTTGACCAAAAAAAAAAAAAAAAAAGAAAACAAAAAACAAAAAAACCAAACTGAAGTATGGAAATTTAGAAGACTGGGAAAATTCAGACAAGAACCATAGAGACACATGGGATGCAATGAATGGCCTAAAATTTGTGTGATTCAAGTTCTAGAAGGAGAGGAGTGAGGTCAGGGAAAAAGCAATCGTGAAGGGAGAGTAACAGAATTTTCCAAAACTGATGAAAGTATCAACCAAAGATTCAAAGAACTGTATGAACCCCAAGCACAATAAATACAAAGACAACCACACTAGGGCACATCATAAACTGCTGAAAATCAAATCAAAAGAGAAATTCATAACAACAGCTGCGGGTTGGGGCAGGAAACGTACTGCTTTCAAAGGAGCACCAATAGCACGGGCAGCTGATTTCACAGAGGGAACAATGGAAGCCGTAAGACGATGGAACGAAACTTTAAAAATGCCAAAATAAAATGTCCAAATTAGAATTCTATGCCCAGGGAAAGTGTTTCCAAAATGAAAGGAGATAAAACTCACCAAAATTTATACATTAAATAGGTGCAATTTTTTGGTATATCTTTTCCTCAATAAAGCTTTAAACATTTTAAAGGAGAATAAATACATTTCTCAGCCAACAAAAGAAACTGAGAAGATTCAACACCAGGAATCATGAACTAAAAGAAAGAGTTCTGGGGCGCCTGGGAGGCTCAGTCAGTTGAGCGTCCGACTTCGGCTCAGGTCATGATTTCATAGTTTGTGAGTTCGAGCCCCGCGTCGGGCTCTGTGCTGATAGCTCGGAGCCTGGAGCCTGCTTCAGATTCTGTGTCTCCCCGTCTCTGCCCCTCCCCTGCTCATGCTCTGTCTCAGAAATAAACATTAAAAAAAAAATTTTTTTTTAAAGAGTTCTTCAGGCAGAAGAAAACAATCCCACAGGGAAATGTGATATTTCAGGAAGAAATAAGGAGGAAATATGTAGGTAAATATAAATAAATATTGGCATATAAATTAATGACTTGTGGGGCTTAAAATGTGTGTAAAATTAAATTCATAGCAACAGTAACACAAAATATGGAAGGGTGTTAATGAGGTTAAAGCGATCTAAGGAGAGCATTCTTGGAAAAGTAGCAAAAATAATTGTTATATGGCTGTGACAAGTTAAGGATGCATGTTGTGATTTCCATGGTAACCACCAAAAGAAAAGCTACATGATGCACTACAAACTAATAAAGAGAAAAATGGAATCATTAGGTTTTTCTTTCTGCCTATAAAATCCCAAATAATTCAAACGCTTTCAATAGCAAAGTATTCAAGACTCTCAATTTGTAAAACAGTTGAGTTCTATTAAGGTTGTATAACCAGATGCCTACTCCAACGTAATCTATTTCTTTTTTCTTTTGGTATCTGATTTAGAGTTTTCACAGAAGAGCAAATTCATAGGCTTAGACACAAACACCCATTTTAGTAAGTGTTTTATTTGAACATGTTAAAGCTTAACTTTGCAGCCACTTTTACTCATTAATCACTGAAATCTAACAAGCTCCCACTGGCACTTATTTGTGGGTAGAAAGCATGAAACCAGAATGGTCAAGACATTCTAAAGCTATGAAAAAGAACCATGCATCCCATCGATCACTGCGTGTGCCTCCCAAACTCTGCTGTCCCACAACCCCGGTCCTTGGCATTTCTTTCGGCGCTGGGATTGTTGATTACTCTAATCCCGCATCCCCTTCCTCTTTTCCCTTGACCCCTCACCTGTATAGGTCCACGAAGTGCTTCACTGCAGTGGTAAGGTCAGGGGAGTTTTGTAGGAGTTTTTTGGCTCGTGGTCCATCAGCTTCTTAATGTCCCCCAAGAGTCACACCCTCTGGTCCCAGGCAAAGCCTACAGAAGTCAATTCGATGGACATGGCTGCCCTTCTGTCACCGCGTGAAATTCCAGTCCAAGCTGGAGTCAGGGTTGGGCTGAGTCCAGGTAAATACATCCCAGAGGTTGTGACTCGCCTGGTGCCAGCAGCACATTTGGCCTAGCTTGGTAGCCAACAGAACACGTCATTCACATGAGCGGTGACAGCTGAGGGTGTAAATGAAGCAGTGGCGAGGGGAGGGGGCCCCTGGAGACAGTCAGTATTTCCTTGGTTTGAACTTCAGTGCCACGCTGTTGATGCAAAACCTCTGCCCACTAGGCCCACGTCCATCAGGAAGCCCGCGGCCAAGACGGGCTCCACACTGCACGGGAGAGAGGCCACGTCATTTCCTCACCGAGACAAAGTTCTTTACGTGAAACTAGACAGGTGAGCCCCACGTGGCCGCACCCCACATGGCCACCCCACCCTGGTGTCTGACATTTGTATGGGGGGAGGGAAGCCCATCACATCAGAATTTGATTAAGAAATGAAAGAAGACAGGGGCGCCTGGGTGGCTCAGGCAGTTAAGGGTCCGATTCTTGACTTTGGCTCAGGTCATGATCTCATGGCTCGTGAGTTCGAGCCCCGTGTCAGGCTCTGCGCTGGCAGCACGGAGCCTGCTGGGGATTCTCTCTCTCTCCCCCCCCCCCTCTCTCCCCCTCCCCTGCTCACTCTGTCTCTGTCTCTCTCTCTCTCCCTCCCTCTGCCCCATCTCTGGAAGGCCACAACCAGGAACGGCTACGTCAGAGAGTGGCTCAGGAAGGTTCTTTCTCTTCCCTGCAGTGCCCAGAATGATAGGAGAAGGATCTGAAGTAGCAAGTGTAGAAAAGTACGAAAATACTCCCGCGTCATAACACCAGCTATGCTCTTTGCAGCATCGGGGAAAACCAAAGAGACAAAACAAAAAAGCCCCACCTGCTTGCAGACAACCTTGGCGCGAGTTAATCCTAACGAGGTGTCCACGCCTCTCAGGATCCCCGCGTCCCTTTCATCGGAGCCAGACGTCCCGTGAGCCTCAGAAAACGGAGGCCGTCCGGTGCCGGAGCAGTACTTTTTCTCGGAACCGGGGAAGACATTGGCCACGCGGCAGCTGCTGAGATTGTTATGAACACACGAAGAGCATTGGGTGCCCCAACTCATTTTTCTGATCCCCTCCCTCCTCTGCCAGACCTCCAGGCCAGTTAGGTGAACAATCAGTTCCGCAGGAACCCTGCCCTCTGCACTGTCGCTATTGAACACGTTGTCCCGTCCCCCGGAAAGGATCTCTTGTTCCTGGGATGCTGCCAGCTCCCCTCCCGATGTCCGACAGGGGCCAAAAAACACTAGAGGCTTTGTGAACTGTGATGCCCATTAGGAAACACAGATCCAATCCAAGTGGTCTAAATGTGGAAAAGGGGGAAACGGAAATGAAACAGCAGTGGTCCGTGGAGGGCGTCACGGTCTGGGCCCAGCAGGGGGAGAGCTGATGAAACGCATTTTCAGCAGCAGGACCTTCCGGTTACCCGGACACAGAAGCCTGACTGCCTCTGCCATTTCGCAGCTGTGTGACACTGGGCAGGCTATGTAACCTCTCCGGGCCCCATCTGTAGCATGGGGAGAATAACACCTACGTCATGGAGACGTTTGGAGGATTGAAGGAGATACTCTGTGGGGGCGGGGGGGGGGAGGAGTAAGTGCTCTTGAAGGTTCGCTGTGAACAGTCGCTGCGGCACCGTGACCCTCCTGGACACGTCCCATGGGAACGAATGGCGCCGAGGTGGGAGAGGCCCAGGGGGGCCGACCAGAGGAGTGAGAGGGAAACACGCAAATCCACGCGCCAGGGACCCCCGGTGAGCTCCCTCAATGGGCGCTAGGGAACCCGAGTGGAAGATCTGCAATGGCAGGGGAAGGGCTCTCTGAGGAAGAGGGAGAAGAAATGCACTATAAACTCTGCAAAACAAACAAACAAACAGACAAACCAAGAGCCAAAAACCAAAAAACCTGAGTAAAGAGAAGGAAAAATGGCAAATAACCAACTCCCTAGCCTGTGAACGCAGAAGGAAGCTCGGGGGAGAGCACGCGCCGCAGCAGGAAGAGTCAGGTTTGAGGCGGTCATCCTCAAACACTCCCATCTCAGGGCTGCTCTCTAGTAAATCACTGAGGAGCTCTGAGAGCTTTTGTTTAGGGGAATTCCGGATACCGATGTTGAACAAATTGGAAATTGTAACTGACAAGCTGTAAATAATCATCCATGAAGTTACTTTCAAAAATAACGAATTCATTACCTGGTCCCATAAATAACCTACTTTTCTGACAGCGCATTATATTTTCCAAAATGAAACAAACACTTAGTGAGAAGAGATGCACCGTTTCACAATTCTGCGCATCTCTTTAACGTCTAGCTTAGAAAAAGGAAAAAGACCATTGACTCTTCCTATGTGCTTCTGGATTCGATCTGCTGCACTGCTATTTTGACTGAGGTACAGAAGAGGATGTGGCCTCATGGATATGCAGTAACGAAAGAGAGGGAGGGCCTTGTAGGGCCCCTAAAACGGTCCCAGAAACTCCCAGGATCCTCAGACCAGCCTTTGAGAACTCTGAGGAGTAAGGGCCCTGACTTCTGAAAGGGGTGCGCGTGGAGCCAGGCTCTGCTTTATCTGTGACCTTGGCAAGTTATTTAGTCCTTTAAAGCCTCAGTGCCCTAATGGATAGAACAGTAAAAGCATTATTGCCTCACAAGGTTGCTGACAAGACTACCTGAAATAGTTTCCCTATAGGTACAGTGTATTTAGCACAGTGTCGGATAAACGGCACATGAATCGGTAGCCATTATTTTTAAAAATCATCACTATTATTAACAACAGATATCCATGAAATCTGAGCAGCCAGAGGTCCACTTTTTTTTTGCAACCCTTTCCAAAGGGCTCAAAACTATTCATCCGAGCCACCCTGGCCCACGGAAAAACATTCTGAGTATGTTTTAGTCACAGCCTTTCCACCCTTAACATTACACGTAAACCAGTGATCATTAAAGGCATTCTGATGGAGAATTATGAATGTAATACATTTTTTAATGAATTAATCTAAAGACTAATAAAAAGTCATTTAAAATGTTTATGGGAAACAATAAATCTTTCTTGATGCAATTAACGGAATCTGCAGATTTTACCAGGTAATAATGAGAGGTCCATCATATAGAATTTCAGAATGGGAACCTAAATATTAAGGTCAATTAGAAATTCCAATATATGGGAGCTCCTGGATGGCGCAGTCGGTTGAGCATCTGACTTTAGCTCAGGTCCTGAGCTCATGGCTCATGGGTTCGAGCCCCACTTTGAGCTTTGCGCTGAGAGTGCCAGGGCCCACTGTGGATTCTCCGGCTCCCTCTCTGCCCCTCCCCCGCTCACGCACACACGTGAGACCATCAAATAAACAAATAATAAATATATGTTAAAATTTTTTAAATAAAAAAAAAGAAATTAAAACAAACATATTTAAATGATTACCAGATTATAAGACTCTACCTTGGGAAACTAAAACCACTCTGGATCATCTCTTTTCACATACTCTTAGAGGTGTTTGTTTGTTTGTTTGTTTGTTTGTTTTGCTGTGTGTTTGCGTGTTCGTTACATGTTTATTTGCTTTGGTTTTTCTTCATTTCTGGAAATTCCACAGCCCCCAAACTACAGCCGAGGCACCTGGTGATAACCGACAACGGAAGTGGTGGCAAATGAAGCAACAGCCTGGAGCCCCCAGAGGGGTGATAACATCCTAAGAGTGTTCTGGACCTGGAAACCTTGGATTAAAGGCCTCTGACTCGGACAGGAGGCATGTCTCCCGGAACAGGCACCATACTGGTTCTGTGTGAAGCCAATTCTGCCAAGAGGCAGTGGTCCCACATCCACTTGACTCTTTCTTGGCTGACCAACTTTCCCCCTCATTTTGACCCTACACAAGCATTTGGAGGAATGTTTACTTTTTCCCTCCACCCCTGCTTGCTATGATGAAGGCTGGAGACTAGAGAAAGAGAGAGGCAAAACAAGAATATTTTCCTAAGACCAAGCTCTTGAATGGGAAGCATGCTCAGGAACATAAGCTTCATGGATAGATTCTCATTAATGAGACTATATTCACAAGAGTTCCTCATTCTCAAAGATTTATCTCCATATGCAGCCCTAAGAAGGATCCGTCTCTGAGGACAGTCATTGCCAACAAGTACTGAGTGCTTGCTGGGCACACGCCGGGAACTGCGCTGGTGCTTCTGCGTGCATTACCTCACGACTCAGTCAATCCTCTCAACAACCTTATGAAGTCCAACTATCCTGCTAGCACGTTACAGGTGAGGAAATCAAGCCACAGACTGGTTCAGAGACATGCCCAAGGTCACAGAGCAGGGGAGCAGACCCCTAGCCACTTCAGTATCCTACCTCTCCTATAAACAAATACATCTTTAAGAAAAGTATATTCTGGAGCATAAAAGATCCTTTTAAACATATTCGTATTTCTTCCAGTTTCAATTATTCAGCAGCAGCAGGAAAATGGAACAGAAACCAACTCAAAAGTCCCTAAGGGGGAAAAAAAATAGAAACCTTTCAACTAAAACTAAATGATTAAAAAAGAAAGAAGTAAGGTTGGTGAATCGGCAGCTTCGCAAACTGGCCTTTGGTAAACGGGCTTCTCGAGAAGTGGCTGGTTCTCCTGTTAGTCTTGGCTGCTTCACTATCTCAGTGACCTGGGGTTGGTCACTCGACTTCCTTAATTTGGACACGCATTGTGCCGATACGGTAGCCACTGGCCACATGTGGGCTTTTAGTTTTAAATGAATTAGAGTTAAATAAAATTAAAAATTCAGCTTCAACGACACTGAGCGTTCAAGAGCCATATGCGATTAGTGGCTACCATATTGGATAGAGCAGATCTGGAGCATTTCCATGGAGGCAGAAATTGCTCCCTACTGTCTACCCTACTGCTCTAGTCTCAGGTCCATCCCGGCTCCAACGTTCTGTGATTCCAGACTGGCTGTTGCGGTGAGGGGATGGTGGGCCCCGGGGGGGGGGGGGGGGGAAGGTCTCAATTTTCCTAGTGCAGAAACTGGAACACCAGTGAAGTAAGAAAATGAACGCAAAGTGGGAGAATGCCCCTACGAGGACAACTTCTCATCCTGTCTTCACAGCCCAAAGGTAGAAACAGAGCATCCGTCTGGTTACTGTCCACCTTCATTTTTGACTAAAAGCAGGCTGGCCATCTCAAGGTCCTGCTTCTCCTTAACAGAACCAAAGGTCAAGGAATAACTAATGGCTCAGAAATACGCGTCCCACATCTTCCTGTGTTAAAATAACCTGCTTCTCTTAGTTCTCCCCAGGCCATCCCGGGCCGACTGCTCTTTTAGACGTCTCCTCACCAGCCACTTGTCGTAGTGAGTGAATCCGGGCAAAGACTTGCCCTTCCGCAAGCATGAAGGGAAATCGATCCTAATTGTTCCTCATCCTTGCCGGCAGGGTCTGGCTTTCCAAATCCGGCCCACATTAGCAGCCAGCAGCCCAAGAAAGCCCGGTCTGCTCAAAGCCCAAAGGACATAATGAAGCCCGGCTTAATGGAAGATTCACAGAGCTGGCTTGATTTATATTTTATTCTAAACCAATTTAGGGTTGATGCAGAAGAAAGCAAAATATCTTTGAAGTTCTGAAAACAGGACTTCAAAGATGTCTTCCTTTCTTCTTCATCGAATCTACTGTTTTTAGACTGTTTCCTGCATGGCTAAACAAAAAAGCCTTTGTTGAGAGATTTCAGATCCTGATTGACTTAAAAGAGGCTTTGAAATCAAGGGACAATTAAATTTACTTTTAGCTGGTATAGAACAGGGTATGGTATTCACTACTGTCAAGCACTGTGGGGAATCTATCCTCATAAAATTCTACATTTCCCAAATTAAATTATAAACCCATTTTCCCTGGGAGAGATATAGTTTTAATCACATGGCCAGGCAAATACTATTATGGTTTAGGTTTCTTTAAATACTTTCCCAGGAAAATACTCTAATAGTGTTACCTTAAGGTGCCCACGAAGTTTTATTTGTTGTCTAGTTCTCCGGGATACAGAGAGAAAGAATACAGGCTAAGAGATCTCGTTAACTGCTCTACATGCTAGAAATAATCCAGACAGGCAAGTATTTTATAGAAACAGCTCTCCTTATAGCAACCATGCCAAATGAGGAGGGCAATTAAAAACAACAGGGGTATATATTTAGCCAAGACTTCAAATGAGACAGAGCTGCATGAAATCTGGAGGTCCGTTCTCCTTCAGTACCTCTCCACCTTGACCTTACCTGAAGAGTGGGCTGTCCCAGCACACGCAGTGATACGTTCCTGGTTCCTTGTTATTCAGGTAGATCCCACTGAAAGGCTGAAAGCAAATGAGATACATCATGTGTAGGGTTCTCCTAACACCAGCAGGAGATGATGTGGCGGATTTAAATCCAAGATTCGGTCCCCAAATAAAGGAATTTTTGTACTAATTTGACGAAGGGCAAACATCACCGGAGAGAAAATTACAACGTGCCCGACGAAGCAGCCTGCAGGCTTATCACAACCCAGCCTTTATTGTGCCAAATATTCAAATTATGACATTAATCATGCTTTGTATTTATATAGCACCTTTCATCCAAGAACATCAAAGTCCGTGAAAAAGTGAGAGAACAGTCCTCTGCATGGTGTAAGATTTCAGTCCTCGTCTCAAAACAGTTCATACAATAGGAATCCAGTCCACTGTCTAAAACACTTTGAAATCTCCAATTAAAGACAGAATATAAATACATACATAGCATAGCTCTGTCAGCTCGTGGTTGTGCCTTTAATACGCTTTGCGCGGCATTTAGGGCGTTGCATACTTACAAAACGTTTAAATAATGAGTTAGATTATCCCACACCAAAGTTACTACCTAGATGAAATGACTTCATTAATTGTGGCCTAAAGAGTTTGCGGGTTTCCAGAGGTTTCCCAAGAAAAACACAAGGAGACTCGAGGCAATGAGTCAGCCAAGTCTTGACATGTATTTTTCAAAATGCCACTTTGCAAATTGGATCTCGCTGTTGGAAAAAGAAACAAAGAGCTTTTTGCCCAATTCCTTTTGTGAAAGTAAATTAAAAGGAAAGAAAACAAAAACAAAACCAACCCTGTCACCCCAGCCAACTACGGACCATCCACCAGCAGGGCCGCGCAGCAAGCGCTCCCCCAACTGCACGGGATGAAAGAGAAGCCAGCGCTCCTCTGAACGGGCCGCCACGTTGCCGAACGGACTCGGGAGGCAGGCTGGACTCTTCTGCCCTTCCTAGATTTCCCGTCTCGACAAAATCACAGGTCAAACATTCAGATTCCCCGTGGTAATATTAACAGCCCGTTTTCAGCGAGCCGCATCACGGACAATTTCAAAAGAACCCGCTGAGCCTACCATCTGGGCACACTTGGACGTTTTTCCCTCTTCAAAGACTCTAAGCTGAGCTGCAGAACAGTAGTTCTGCACAGTAGTAAGCTGGTCTTTTTACGGCCTGTCCCCCTGGGTGCCTGCTCCCACCCGTGGCATCTGCAACCAAGCTCCACATCCCTCCCGCCTGGGCTGACGAGACACACATGCCAGAGGGCCACCAGTCCTGGGGCTGAGCTAGATGTTATGTTATATGTTATATGTTATAAACATAGATGTTTATGAAGTGACATCTATCCAGGCCTCCTAGACCGATTTCCTGGATGCCTCCTTCCCCTTACACCTCAATTTTATATGAGTCTTATCATCTACTTAGGGCCGAACTCAGCTTTTAACTCAATTGTGCATTCTAGTATTTACTTGAAAACCTACTATGTACCCAGGGCTGGTCTGGGTGCCGTTACAGAGATGGGGAGGAGAAGACTGGGAACTGAACTGGCCAGCCCCTTCATATGGGACTTCCCAGCCTCCAGAACTGTGAGAAATAAATGTCTGTTGTCTAAGCCCCCAAGTCTGTGGTATTCTGCTATGGTGGCCCTGAAGGCAGTCTGTCTGGACCAACGGGACCTCTTTCCATACAACATACCTGTTGGGAACAGATGGCCCGCCCAAAAGGGCGCTTTGCACATAACTTCATATAGAACGATTTACAAAGGTGGGGACAGGGCCAGCGGAAACCAACAGGGAGGGTGAGGCAGCCCCGGGCCCGTGGCTTTGAGAACACACTACCCTACTAGGCCTGTGGGGCCAAGGATGGGGCAGCTCCCAGCACCCGTGAGGCTGTGGCCGTAGGTGAGGGCGGCCTGCAGGAGCACGGCCGCCGAGAGGACCCCGGATCCTGATTTCTCGGTTGTGTCCTCTGACCTCGCCGGCATCATCCACTGCCACACTCGGTCAGTAGCCGGAGGGAAGGGGAGCGTGTCTTCTTCCCAGAGCTCAGAGCGGAGCGAAGCATGTGGAGAGCAGTTCTGCGGGGCAGACAGCGGGTGACCTGCATAAAACCTGCCTCCGACTGCCTTCTGTCGGACTTTTATAGTGCAACCAGGCTGTAAACTCATCTGCTGTGTCTACCGAGTGCTAACGTACCCCTGCGGCCCAATACGAACACGCGCGACCGAATTTTTAAGTGTGGGTGACCAAATAGAAAGCTTAGACGTGTTATTTCTCTCTCGTTAGCAAGGCTTACAGCTAGTTCTGCATCATTCCAAGAAGTTACGTGTGGACGTGGGTCAGCTGAAAGGGATTTATAACATTACTGAAAATACTGGATGATGCTCATTTTGTAAAATGGCCAAATGCACAGAGCATACTGCACCATCTGTTTGAGAATCCCACAGATTTATTCTCCTCAACATCTGTCAGCTCATCTCCAGGCTCGGTATATATACCAAACCCTGCCTGGCTGTGTCCCTGAGAAAGGGCTGGCTTAGAATATTCTGGGATACGCCCAACTGCACACAGAGAATCACACGTGGCTCCCGGTACTACCTGCACTAATAACCACGGTCTCTTTCCCAGTGAAAGATTATTAGAGTCCCACCGACAGGAAGTTTTAAAAAATAGCAGGACTTCACAAGAATCTGTTGGGATCTGCCGGCCTAAGGACGTCAGCGTCGGAGAAACCGAGGGTGTGCCATGATTCCACGGCCACATGCACATGAACTCGGTGGGGCCTGCTGAAGGAAAGACAGAAATACCCCGCAGCTCCGCAAAAGCGCTGTGGTCCACTCTGTGGGGTCCACTTCCCCGATGAAAAGGTCTGGTAACCGCGTTCTACGGCTTTATTCCAGCGGCTATACTTGGGTGTGAGACAGATTACTGGTTAAGAAGCGCTGTGCTGGGAAACCAGTACCGCGATGAGGACCCACGGAGGACGGAGGACGGCTCCCCCCCGGAAACGAGTCAAAGCTGCGCTTGATGAATGCAGCTTAATGTTTCTGCCTCTTAGCCCGCACTCACTCAGAAGTCACAAAAATTTACTTTCTGACGGCGGACCACGGCCAGGCGCTGTGTTTCGTGCGAGGGCCACGCCAACGATGGCAAGTGCTCTGAAGGAAAAGTGCTGGGAACAGCAAGGCCGGCTTGGGGCCGAGAAAGGCCTCCCTGAGCACAGGGGCTGGGGGTTGAGAGGCAGGTCTGAAGGGGCAGGGAGGGTGGGCGAGGGGATGGGGGAGAGCAGGACACAGGGCCAAGGGCGGAAGGGAGAGGGAGCCCAGGGTGTTTGAGGAAGGAAGCTCAGTGTGGCCCAAGCGCAGAAATAGGAGAAACAGCCCCACCGAGGAGAGGGGCAGGAGGCTGGGGGCAGAGCCACTGGGGCCTAATTAGCCATTTGTAAACTTTGCTCTTTACCTTGGAAGCGGCGGGAAGCCTCTGGAGGGGCGGCGGAGGGCTGGGGTCGGACTTGTGTTTTCGGATCTCTCTGGCAGCCGTGTGGAGAAGGGGGGGCCAAAGGAGAGCAACGGGAAGGTTACTGAGGAGGCAGAACAGGGTGAGGGGAGGGAGGGGGGTCCGGGAAGGCTTCCGGTCCCTACAGGCAGGCGGACACGGGTGCCCGACAGGGAGAACCACGGAGGAGGGCCGGACGACGGGCAGAGCGGATGAGTGGCACGTACCCCAACCCCCCCTCCAGCCACCCCCGGTCCATCCAGTCACCGAACCGTCGGCAGTGTGGCCTACCGGGTCGGCTCCCTTTCGCCTCGTGACGTTAGAACCGCTCTGGAGTCAGTTTCTTGTGCCACTCGCTCCGGGTGAGAGACTGGCTCGCGCTCTGTGAGGGACCCTGGGTGGTTAAATGGGAACCTCTTGTAATTAGAACAAAAGGGCCCAATGGACGTTTCCCCTTGAGCCTTGCTCCCCAAGTGCACGGCCACCCCCAGGACACGGCCGTCCCTCCCCTCTCCCACGACTCCCTTCGTCCCGGGGACCAGAAAGCTCCGGTACAAAATGCTTCAACTGACTCATTAGTTTCATGAGAAAGGAGCAGCAGGCGGACAGCCGGTTTTCTCGTCCCACTGAGGTGCGGGAGCTAAAGAGGCAGCTGAAATATGAAATAACGCAGAATAAGATCTCCTTGGGTGCCCGGGGGGTGCACATTGATCCCTCTTCTATTACCGCATCCAGAGGAATATTTCTTGCCAGGACACGGCTGGGAGTAGCTGAGTGACTGGAGAGAAAAGAACCGTGAGTTAGTGGGTTATTCAACTTCTCTCCTTCGCTGGTTTATAAAAATCTCTCTGCTTTTGTTTGTCGGCAGAAGTCTTTATTAAAAAAAATCTAGTGCGGAAAAAAAAGAGACTCCTACAGCATATGCCCCTGCAAAGAAACGGAGACCTTCCAGAATCTATCCTTATGCTTTAATCTTACGACTTTTACTCCAGTGAATGGAAACAAATTAACTAGGACAATACTCTTTTTAGCCAAAGGGGAGGAGGAAGCCCAAGGCATATACAACCGATGCTTCGACCATCCAACACGAAGAATGCGAAAGGGTTTTATGATCTGTGCACCTCAACGTCCCAATGAGAAAACAGCGGCCCGGAGGCTTAGTAACTGACCACAGCAACAAAGATAAAAGGTTAGACGCTTACGGTGTTACCGCCAAATATCGAACATGTCTGAAAAGCATATTTGAAATTCATTTTGTTACCAGAAAGAGGTCCTACATAATGAAGATCTGTATCTTCATCGCTAGCTCATAATACCGCATAATACGGTATTTTTGGTATCGTGTGTTGTTGTTGCTTATGGTTGTTCACATTTTATTAAAAAGTTTTTAATCTGTTAAATATGTCAATGGTTGCCCTTTCTTAAATACTTTTTGTAAAGCTATGGGGACTTCTTTTTCACTCTGGAAATACACCTCCGAAATTTTCCTATGAAAATATAGTTCAACTGCACACGGTTTCCCCAGGACTCATTTCCTGGGGCGCAAAGCAAGATGTATTTATGTGACGATTACTACTGCTCAGTAGCCTTTCAGAGTTACCAATGCAGAATGCCATGCAATAAATGGATGGGGGAATGATAACAATTAAAAAAAAAAATCACCCTTTTATAATCAGTAAAATAGTCACTGACTCAAGCAAGAATCGGCAGGGGATTCTAAAACCCTGGGCGGGGGCGCCTGGGTGGCGCAGTCGGTTAAGCGCCCGACTTCAGCCAGGTCACGATCTCGCGGCCCGCGAGTTCGAGCCCCGCGTCGGGCTCTGGGCTGACGGCTCGGAGCCTGGAGCCTGTTTCCGATTCTGTGTCTCCCTCTCTCTCTGCCCCTCCCCCGCTCATGCTCTGTCTCTCTCTGTCCCAAAAATAAATAAACGTTGAAAAAAAAAAAAATAAAAATAAAACCCTGGGCGAACGACTGTTGGAAGAATGGAACAGTTACACATTTTCAAGATAGTGTTAATTACGAGGAAGAAAATGAGCCTCTACAACGGAAAAATGTACACGTCACCACCTTAACCAAAGAAGCAAAGGGAGCATCGCCGACAGCGGGACAGGCTGACATCACGGGCCTCTGGGCGTGAGGCACTGAAGACGTCGCACCCCCCACCGCACTGCCTCCAAATTCAGGGAGCCCGCTGACACCTTCTCCGTGAAGCCTGGGAACCCTTCATTCTTCTCTCTCATTTCCCCGTAGTTCTGACACTTGGCATTCTCCCGTGGCACCTTTGCTTTCCCTGGGCTTCCGTGGCACCCGATTCTCTGTTCTCTCCCACGGCTCCCTTTCGGCATCCTTCGTCAGCCAGCCCTGGAACGAGTCCGGCTGTCCTAGGCTTGCCCCTGTCACCGCACCACACCTGCCTGCCCTCGGGTGATTTTGTCCGCTGAGTAGCTTAAGGACCATCCACACGATGAGACCCCCACGTCTAGCTTCCTTCCATCCTCTCTGCTGAGTTCCAGATCCATATGCAACCACAGACGCGTACCTTGAGGCTGTCCCGTTTCAAACACCGTGCGCGAGAGGACTTCGCGTGTCTCCCCTGCCCCGCCCGACCCAAATCTGCTCCTCCTCTCGTGTGCTCCAGCTCTCTGATGCCACGCTTTAAACCGGAACGCCAGGCTGTCCTCCGTGACTCTTTCCTTTTCCGTGCACTAAGCCCTGTTGCTTCTCCTTCTTAAATAGCTCTAGGATCTGCTCATCCTCACTTATCTGCCACTACCTTGGCTCAGGCCGCCATTATCTCCAGCAGAGATGACAAAAGTCCCCGATTACAAAACGCCCTCCCCTATTTGCACCGCTTCTTCTTCCTCACTGCCCCAAACTGTTCGGTGTTGTCACACAGGAATCAGAAAACATGCCGTGTGAATATCTAGAAGAGCACGTAGGCAAGAGAAAAACCTGGCTGGGTGTGCCTGGCATGTCTGATGAATAGCGGGAAGGCCAGGGGAATGGGTGGAGCGAGCAGGAAAATATGCAGAAGTGCGAGCAGAGAGCTAATGGGGTAGCGGGCATACCACGAAGGGCCTTGAAGGCTACCCTAAGGTTGGTGGCTTTTATTCTGAGTGCGGAAGTCACGGGAAGATGAGCAGGGGCATGACGTGATCTAACATACTTAAAAGGGTTACTGGCTGATGTACCAAAAAAATCGAAGCAGGGCAAAGGTCGCCGCAGGGCACCCAGCACAGAGGGCACTTGAACAACCTGGCCGAGAGACGGGAGGAGTCCTGGGTCAGGGCGGCGGCAGCAGACAGACTTAGAGAGGTCCCTCGCCAGCTGTATTCTGATGGCAGAGCTAGAGGACTTGCAGATGTGAAGTACGAGAGAAAGGACACAGTCAAAGGGGCACCACTCCAAGGCTCTAGGTCCGAGCAGGGGACGATGGGGAAGCCTACAGGAGGAGCAGGTTTGAAGGCTTGTTAATAAAAATGCCAGCTCAATATTCAAGTGGACACGTCAGGCAGGCAGCTGGATTTATGGATGCAGAAATTGGGGAGAGGCCCAAGGTGGCCATGTAAATTTGGGACTCCTCACAGCATTACGATGTTATTTAAAGCCATGAGCCTGGAAGATCCCCAAGCCGGCGAGTGTGGGAAGAACAGAGAGGCCCAAGGGTGGGACTTGGAGGCGCCCCAAGATAAACAGGTGGAGGAGATGGGGACGAGCAGACAGCGAGGCAGGAAGGAAACCGCAAGAATGTGCCGTCCTGGAAAGAGATGACTGATAATTAACCATCGGGTTTGGCAATGTGGCCGTCACTGGTGCCCTGAAAAAGGGCAGTTTAGGCGGAGGGGAGAGAGAGAGAGAGAGAGAGAGAGAGTGTGTGTGTGTGTGTGTGTGTGTGTGTGTGTAGAATAGAACTGATAGAGAAGAGGAGGAAGGAAAGGGAGACAGTGCAGACAGGTCCCTCGGGAGTTCTGCAGTTAGCTGGAATGGAAGGTAAGATCGAGAGTACTCTTTATGAGGAGAAAGATCACAGTATCCTACTATGCTGTTGGGAATTGTCCACTGAAGAGCGTAAGTTGATGATTTAGGAGAAAGAGGGGAGAGCTGTGGAGCTGTTTTTGACCTTGACCTTAGGTGGATGAAATACAGGAGAACAATGAAACTGTGAACATTTTATTGACTGTGTAAGCTTTAGATAACTATTCAAGGTGACAATAAAAGAGTTTTACAAAGCAACGCCAGCCTAACCGCCCAGTGAGGGGAAAACACTGTGCAACCTCTTCAGGCGCGGTTAGCAGGGAAAGGTGTTTTGGTTGTTTTAAGACCAAGTGGGATCAGAACTGGCTTTAATTGGAACTATGTGTTTAACCACAAGAGAAGCGGAAGACATTCTACTTAAGGCCGTTGAAAAGCCCAGCAGATGTGTATAACTATATTTTGTAAGCCTTCAACCAAGGGCAAGATCCAAAAGCTGTCCAGGGCCAACGTGTCTGTGTGACCTAAGCCGGGACTGGTCACACAAAGGCCGCCTCGAATAGTGAAAAAAAGGAAGGCAAGAGCGGGATTTGATTCTCCCTTCCAGAATCTAAACTGGTTTTGAGGGAAATGTGGGAAACCTGAGCCCTGGCTATATCACTGACACTGGTTATAGAAAGGAGTAGGAGAGCACCATGATGAAACGCCCTCCTTACCCTCCAAGTGTCTGTCCTGCCGCGTCACTCCACCTACATTCTTGCCTTTGGCAAAGATCTTTTGTTATTTCTGTGGAATTCTAAGACGAGAACTGACTTTTGGTACTAAGATTTATAGTCTGGAAAGTTGCTATTATCTTCCCTTCTCCTTTTGGGGAGGAAGTGGAATGGGCTAGAGGGGGAAAAAAAAAACACTACTGTCTCCTGGAAGCATTGCCCTTAGGGTCTTTCCACTTGCAATACAATTGCTGACACCAGAAAGCAGGAATTCAAGAAGCGCGAAAGTTCAGCGGGACTCCCGCCCTTCGGCTTCGAACCCAAGGTCTGAATCCTGGATGGGCCCCCAGATCCCTCTCCTATAGCTCTGTATTTTACCACACCTATTAGAGTGACTAATTCTTTTCAGACACTCCCCTTCTCCTATTTTTTTAGCTTAAACTTTAAAACTAAGATTTAAATTGTTAGACAAAAGGGGCGCCTGTCGGTTAAGCATCCGACTTCGGCTTAGGCCAAGATCTCGCCGTTGCTGAGCCCGAGCCCCACGTCAGGCTCTGTGCTGACAGCTCAGAGCCTGAAGCCTGCTTCCAATTCTGTGTCTCCCTCTCTCTCTCTGCCCTCTCCCACTCACGCTTTCTCTCAAAAACAAATAAAGGTTAAAAATTTGTTTGTTATATCGTCAGACGGAAGAATTACTCCTTTATCTAAGTAAGTACGTTTTTTGGGGTGCCTGGGTGGATCAGTTGGTGGAATGTCTGATTCTTGATTTCGGCTCAGGTCACCATCCCAGGGTCACGGGATCAAGCCGCACATCGGGCTCTGCCCTGAGTGTGGAGCCTGCTGAAGATTCTCTCTCCCTCCCTCGGCCCCTCTCCCCCATTTTTCATGGCTCTTCTAATCCTTATCTGTACGTACCTTTTACACAATGTGTGTGAAAGGTTTCACGGGTAGGTAACAATGTTCAGACTAGTTGTTCTTCAAGCACCAAATATGCAACATTTAACTGTAAATCTGCAGCCTAGAAGACACCATCAAGAGAAGACGGACCCTGCTTTGATAGCAAAATGGCCAGCGGGCAGCTGGGTGCTCTCGGGTCAGGATCAGGTCTGCATCACTTACGGAGGTTTCTTTAATCATGGTGTTAGGGGGTGAACTGTGTCCTCCCAACATTCGTATGTTGAAGTCCCAATCCTCAGTACCTTAGAATGTAACAGTATTTGGTGATAAGGCCTTTAAAGAGATAAGGTCAAGTGAGGTCATATGGGTGGACCATAATCTCTATAGCTGTATTTCGGAGATGGGGCCTTTAAGGAGGTGATTATGTTAAAAATGAGGCCACAGGATGGGCCAAATCTGACCAGTGTCCTCACACGAGGAGGAAGAGACTTTAGGGCTGTGTGAGCACAGAGAAAAGGCCATCTGCAAACCAAAGACAGAGGCCCCTCAGGAGAAACCAACCCTGCGAATACTTGAACTTGAACTTGATCTTGATCTTGAACTCCCAGCTTCCAGAATGATGAGAAAACAAATTTCTGTGTTTCAGCCTTCCAGCCTGTGGCATTTTGTTGTGGCTGCTCCGGCCAATTCACATACTACGCTTTAGGAAACTAAAGTTTGAATGGAAATTGCATTATGTGTAAGCTCTGCAGTTTCACCGAACAGCAGTTTAGGCACCTGTACATACAACACCCAACCAGTGACCATTTTAGGAAGGAGTAAGGTCACTTGGACACCGGTGGCCAGAGAGGACTCAACGTTGGGCTTCTGGTCCTTTTGAGTGTGTGTAGAGGTGTTTTCTGTCCTTAGTCCAGGTCATCTGCACCTCAAGTTGGTCCTTTAGGGACCGCGCGTCTTTCAGATTCCCTCTGCGTTCTCTCTTGCGATCTTCGCTACCAAATGATTTGGTGGCTCTTATTGTTGTGCTAGATAGCTACACAGCTTTACCTTGAACTATGCTTTGATACACTTGCATTCCTCTGGGTTCTTTTCTCGCTTTGTGCTGTGATTGGCACAGGCTATCTTTCTTGTTGGCAATATATTTCAAGAGGTGGGCTTAGGTTTTCTCATCTGTAAAGAACACCCTCTTGGGGTACCTGGGTGGGCTCAGCTGCTTTAGCGGCCAGCTCTTGAGTTCAGCTCAGGTCATGATCTCACAGTTTACGAGACAGAGTCCCGTGTTGGGCTCTGCGTTGACAGTACATTGCCTAAGATTCTCTCTCTCTCTTGCTCTGCCCCTCCCCTGCTCGTGCCCTTGCTCTCTCTCAAAATAAATACATAAACATTTAAAAATAAAATAAAATAACCTAACGCCCTCTCTTGGTCATATGGTCACATACTGGTTACCTCCTTCTGGTTTTGTTCACCTTTCTGGTCACAGCTGCTCTGCTACCCAGTGTCACACACAAGGCGGGCTTGTTTCAATAAAGACTTGTTGAGACTAAGGAAACCTATTAGGAACTGGCACAAAAAGAATCCCCAGCCCATTGTAATTTGCAGACTAGTCTTCTTTCCCACCCCAGTGACTGGACTGGTTTAACCAGTGCTCAGGATGGTTTCCTAGCAGAGTATTTCTAGAATGTTCTCCTGAAACAACAGTTTTCTCCAGGATACTTCTTACTTTCCTCTCTCGATTTGCTCTTGCCGATCTCAAAGACAAAGTCATAGGGGCCTTGCCTATTTCTGCTTCTTGCGTAGCAGAAATCTCAGTGCTGCGGAACCGTCTTCTGTCACTAACAACATCTCATTGGTCTCTCAACCTTCCCTAAGTCTGTAACGTAGGTTAAATGTAGCTATACTTTTGTCCTTTGTATTTGTTTATGTAATTATAATGAACATTTACCGTATGCTAAGGGCCAGTCATTGCGATGAAGCATTTAAAATGTGTTTCATTGGGGCGCCTGGGTGGCTCGGTCGGTTAAGCGTCCGACTTCGGCTCAGGTCATGATCTCACGGTCCGTGGGTTCGAGCCCCGCGTCGGGCTCTGTGCTGACAGCTCAGAGCCTGGAGCCTGTTTCCGATTCTGTGTCTCCCTCTCTCTGTGACCCTCCCCCGTTCATGCTCTGTCTCTCTCTGTCTCAAAAATAAATAAACGTTAAAAAAATAAAAAATAAAATGTTTTCCATTTAGTCTGGACAATAACCCTACTACTACCATTATCCTTATTTTACAGAAGAAAAACACAGGCTTAAGCTTACCAAGTTCAGAACATGCCCAACATGTCAACACCAAACTCTTACCTGTCTATAATTTTTAACGGGTGCCTAATAGTTTTTGGAATTGAACTTTTCTGGTTTACTTAAGCATTCCTTAACTGATGGACATTTGGGTTACGGCCAGCTTCTGGTTCTTAAGAGCGGTGCTGTTAAAAACATTTTTGTACATATAACTTTGTTCTTTTGAATTATTTCCTCAGAATAAATTCCCAGGAGGGGGTGTCTGAGAAGTTATAAAGCTCCTGTTATGTTTTGGTGTCTGGCCAGATTTTAAACGTTGCTGAAGACGTTAGATCCCCCAGGCAATTCATCAAGGCTATTTCTGACAACACCAGAACATAAAAGCCAAGCTGCCATTGAAACCACTGTCCTATAAAAAGGTAATGAGGAGAGCTCCGGCCCACAAGTGTGATGTTTCCATCACCTGTGGTTCTCAGGAAGCCAACGCTTGACACACAGTAGGTATGCAACAAATATCATCAGACTGGCTGACTAAGACACCATGGGGTGCTGAAGGTCATGCCTGGAAGTCATGCTGGATCAGCTACTACTTCACGCAGCCTGTGCTTTTATTTGTTTAAAACTATACTTTGAGAACTTCAGGGGATGGAAAGAATTCCAAGTGATTGGTACATTTCAGAGGAGACAGGTATCTTGAAATTTCCTCAATGGGCATATAACAGAATCGGATTCAGAGATGGGACAGCTGGGCAGTTGCCCAAGAAGCCAATCCACGGGGAGCACCAAATCACCCTGAAACAGATCTGAAATACAATTGACACAGGTCTCCACAGGTGACTCCAAACTAAAAGATGACATGCGAATGCGCCCCAACCCGACAGAGGAGCCAAAGGCATGTTAAAGAAACACGGACACATCACACACACGCACACGCGCGCGCACACACACACACACACACACGCTTTTCACTGGTCTCAGAGCCACTGACAATCAATGATTATCAGTCTAAAGGGGAACGAGTTATTAGCCTACACGTCTCAGATCTGGGACACACACATAGAAATAGAGCAGGGCAGGAAGAAAATCCGCAGGCGTCCGAAGTCTCAACCGCTCGTTTCTCCCCTGGGAAAAGAAGCATGCAGAATTTAAGAGGGGGACAGTGTAACAGATCACGGGCCATTACAGGAGGGAGCATCGTTTGCCTGGAGTCTGGAGACAAGCGTCAGGGGCTCCTGAGCCCGACATTTTACCAAGGAAATATTCAGGGACACGCACCCACGTCCGTCCAAATGTACAACCCACTGTCAGGAACAGCACCCAGGGGCGCAGCCAAGAAGTTTCTCTAGAAGGAAGAGTCACGTGCAGAACCAGCACTCGGACCCCCAAGTTCAGGAGGGCGAAGTGAAACCGCAAGCCGGGAGGCGGCGGCAGCGGGGCCTACCTGCGTTCGCGCGACCTGCCCCCGTGCCGGCGCCGCCGCTGCCCGCTGGGCCCGCTCCGGTCCGCCGGGATACTTCTCGGAAGGGCAAGGCCCAGAACGCCCGGAGCAGACGCGCCATGACGCCGCGTGCGGGCCGCACAGAGCCAACGCACGCAGTTCCCGCGCGCCCCGCCTCCCCCCGCGCGCCCCGCCTCCCCCCTTCCAACACCCGTGACCACCCTGCTCCTCCCCCTCCCAAGTCCCTCCTCCTAACCCTTTCCCGCCCCTGCCCCTACCGCCCTCCCCTCCTCGGGGCCCTCCCTGGCCCCCTCTCCTTTGCACCGCTCTCCCCTCCTGCTTGCTCCAGCGTGCCCGCACGCTTCGCTGGGCTTCTACCCCCTCCCTGCTCCTCCCCTGGCCCTGCCCTCCACCACCTTGCCCCACTCCACTTCCCACCCCCCCCACCCCCGCCCCGCAATGATCTGTTTTACTTTGCATTTTCTAGAATTGAATATATTGTGGAACTATAGGTTATTCTGCATTTTCTTCAGTTGCATATAAATGGAATCCTTGTACGTGCTGAGTAGTATTCCAATTGTGGATATTACACAATGTACTTACCTTGTCACCTATTGATAGATACGTATATTGTTTCCAGTTGCCCCCTATTAGAAATAGAGCTGCTAGGAACATTCCTGTACAAATCTTTGTATGCATATGTGCTTTCTTTTCTCTTGGGCAAATAATATTATCAAAGACGTCACAGCACTGCAATGTTAAAGTGACCAACCTTGTTTTGGATAATTCCAGTGATGTAATTTTTCCGGTGTTTTGTTTGCCATTTATAAGAGTGTACACATACAATTTGTATTCAAATGAGATTACTTTACGTATGCCGTGTGCTTGGGATCCAAGTGGCCGAGATCACTCACTTAGGCCATGCCCAAGTTTAGAGCTAGAAAGTACTTGCAAGATCATCTGGCCACTTACTTTAACGTTGGTTGTTCACGGGGAAAATGGGGCCAGTGTGGCTAGTGGTTTATCAACATCACACAACCAACCAGTATGTAGGAATCAGGATTAGAAGTGTGGCTTCCCAAAGCCAGGTGTCACCAAGTGGGAGACAAGAGAAGTCAGAAGGATGTTCCTGAGATTTTCTTGATAGATAGATAGATATAGATGAGATAGAGATAGTGATATAAAGATATAGATATAGATGATATAGATACGCACACACACCTCCCAATGCCAAAAATTCCTAATTCTTAGACTTTCCACATGAAAGGTACTATACAAAATATCATCTGGTAGGTACATTTGGCACCAAGCACCTCCCTTCCTCCAATGTGTACCTGCAGAGCTTGGATGTACTGTTTAGTGTATGCTTTACTCAAAATGCAGCAGCTTTCTGTATTCTCTGAGATTTCTCCTGCCATTCCCCCTTCCTCTCTTTTGAATTTTGACAAATGAGTTTCCAATAACCCTGTGCATCTTTTTGAGCTTTTGCTGCACAATTTCAACTCAGAAATGGTGGCAAAGCTAACAAACCATACCACTGCATTTGAAGCCTTTTTTCTGTTTTCTTTTTAATCTTCGCTAGCCCAGCCCTGTACGTTTCAGCCTTGTTCATTCTCCTTCAACACCGCATGGTGCGTAACTCACTGGTGGGAACCTCCTAGGTAGATCTTCCAAAATGACAATAAATAAATAAAAGAATGAATCCAGGATGTATAGACAAAGGTACAGATGTAGATCTCTATACACACATATATATGCTGGATCAGAAAATATGGATTGCATTTAAAATTTTTTTATTTATGTAATTTTATTAACAATTTGGTTTAGAGCTTTTGCATTCATGTTCATGAGGGATAGCAGTCTGTCGTGTTCTTTTCTTGTAATGTCTGACTGGTTTTGTATTTGACTCAGGGAGATTAAGTCGCTTGTCCATGGTCATTCTGCTGGTTAGTTGAAGAGTTTGTAAAGTCCCCCTCAAGTTTAGATTTTAGAAACTGTCAAGAAATAGCAGAAGGGTAACCCGCTCATCTTCACCATCCCATCCCAGTAAAGAAGTTTATTCCCAAGAAATAAATTTAACATTGCGACATTGTAAACTGGCCCAAGACCCAATTCTGGGTATCTTACATTCCTAAGATGCATGACCTTGGTCAAATATCCAGTTTCCTTATCCCTAAACTGGGGGTCTTGCAAGGATTAGAGACAATGCATAGTGAAACACTTAGAAATCCTCTGGGAAATAGTTGGTTTTAATAAATGTTAATTACTGCTATGAAGATGTAATGAGGAAAACACTGGTTGGTAAGCAGAGTTGCTAACCAATCCACCCCTGCACTTCCGTGCACCCCCCACTCTCACTTTGGAAAGACATTCCAAAACATGGAGGGCCTCCCTCCGTCGCTACTGCCATTCTCCCATACACCTGCTATGAGGACTCTTTGCTCAGGCCCTTTCTTGTGTTGAAATGCCCCCTCTGCCCTCGACCATTTGTCTAAGTCCAACTTAACCATGACGACCATGCGCCAATTTCTCATTAGCCAAATGGAAACCCTGGTCTGAAGAAAATCCTAGGCAATGTCTTACCTCATATACTGAGCGGTAGAGACTACAAGCTGCCTGTCTGATATCCATTCTCCTCTCTTTATTTACAGAAAGATCTTTGATTTTACTGAGGGTAGCAAAGTGCCTGGCTAAAATGTTTCACCCAGCAGCTCCCTTGTTGCTAGTGGCGGTCATTTGGTGCAGCTGTGCGCAATGACAAAAAGCAGACATCACAGGAAGACTTCCAGGAAAACCAGTTACAGAAGAGCTAACTTGGCTGGCATTGGCTTTGTGCTTTTCCTTTTCATTCTGTCCTGGAAATTAGTGATGATGGCTAGCGCACTGGCCATCTCCTGATGTAAATGTTCATGAGTCCCACACCCTGATACCAGAGTAAAAGTCAGTAAGTTGGCCTGGGTCTCTGATGACACTGTGTAACCAATGTAATGGATTGCCTCTCTTCGGATTTCTCATTACACGAGAGACAAGTCCATCTTTTCTTTAAACCACTGCCATTTGGATTTTCTGTTGTGTGGAACTGATACACTGTATCTGGTGTTCTGCATTTGATTGTGAGAATCTCTTGGAAAGGCAAGATTCTGTAACTTTATCTCTTTGTCTATCTCTATACTTCCCTGTAGACTGTAGTAAATAAGAAACTATTGCTCACAATAAAACCCTTAAAAAGATAGAGTGACCCAGAAAATGGGAGATCAGCTCAAAAGCCAGTTTGCTTTCCCCATGAAGAAAAAAACAAATCAAACAAACAAACAAACAAACAAACAAAACAAACACGACCAAACCATTTAGGTATGATGAAATGGAATAAGCTGTGTGCATTTTCTCCCCATTGAACAAAACATATGCCTCAAGTTCAGTATCAATGCCCATTTTTTCCCTATGGCAATCTAGAAAAGTCCTAGAAATGAACCAACTGGGATGTTTCTAACTAACATCCGTAGACATCTTAAAGTAGTAAAGGGAGCGAGTGAATAAAGGTGTGATAGAAAAGCAGAATGAGATAGACCCTGGGTCTTGTCTTCAGCGTCTCCCTAACGAGATACAGGTTTGGGGGCCTTGGTTTGATGATCTGTAAAACGGCACAAGTGCAGGGCAGGGTGGCCTAGAACTCAAAATTGAATGGTATCTGAAGTCTCATAAGTCTGTAACCATATGATATTTGGTGAAAAATGGAACGTTATAAGCTCCTGCTGACCAGAAAGCTGAAGATTAAAATAACATTCAAAGGGCGCCTGGGTGGCTCAGTCGGTTAAGCGGCCGACTTCGGCTCAGGTCACGATCTCGCGGTCCGTGAGTTCGAGCCCCGCGTCGGGCTCTGTGATGACAGCTCAGAGCCTGGAGCCTGTTTCAGATTCTGTGTCTCCCTCTCTCTCTGACCCTCCCCCATTCATGCTCTGTCTCAAAAATAAATAAACGTTAAAAAAAATAAAATAACATTCAAGTTAATTTATAGATTTAAGCAATATCATTTATAATTCCATCGGGTTACTTTGTTGAAATTGACAAAACAATTAAAATAAGTGTGGGGAAAAATGCTTTTGTAATAATATATGGCTATACCATATATTACAGTGCCTTTTTAGGAAATGGTATTTATCAAAATGGGCTAATCCAAACTTAGGCCTGGGAGATACATAGAGACTCTTCAAATCAATATATATTTAAGCCATTATAAACAATGGGATATAAAATTATTCAAGCTGTGTTTTGGGGCAAAGTGACCATCAATACAGGAAAATAACTGTAGAGTCTAAGGTTTAGAATGATAATTTATTCCAACCAAAAGAAATCATTTTTGAGTTAAATTTAGTGTCATATACATGCGTATATACATATATATCTATGAAACAAAGCAAGACTATACATATCCCTTTGGGAAAAAAAGGCTTTGAGGCAATAGAAGCAGTCAAAGGAATTTCCAATGAACCAATGCAAATATCAACGGGTTCAGGTACAGGAAAATTAAAATGCATACCTACTGGAGGTGACTGACTCAGTCGGTTAAGCATCTGACTTTTGATTTTGGCTCAGGTAATGACCTCACGCCTCATGAGTTCAAGCCCTGCATTGGGCTCCGTGCTAATATCATGGAGCCTGGTTGGGATTCTCTCTGTTTCTTTCTCTGCCCCTTCCCTCCTCGCACAGGCTCACTCTCTCTCAAAATAAGTGTAAAAGATTAAAAAAAAACTTTATATAAATTTTTTTTCAACGTTTATTTATTTTGGGGACAGAGAGAGACAGAGCATGAACGGGGGAGGGGCAGAGAGAGAGGGAGACACAGAAACGGAAACAGGCTCCAGGCTCTGAGCCATCAGCCCAGAGCCCGACGCGGGGCTCGAACTCCCGGACCGCGAGATCGTGACCTGGCTGAAGTCGGACGCTTAACCGACTGCGCCACCCAGGCGCCCCTAAAAAAAAAACTTTAAAATGCATACATATTGACCACAAAATACAAAACAGTAAATGATTAATTCCTGTATTAGTGAGGGCTCTCCAGAGACACAGAACCAATGGGAGATGTATATAATATAGAAAAACTCATTTGAAGGGATTGGCACACGTAATTATGGAGATTGAAAAATCTACAGGTTGGAGAACCAGGAAGCCTGTAGTTCAAGTCCTGAGAGATGGAGAGTATTCAGAAGCAGATGTGCTAAGGGTTTGACCCAGCTCAAGGAGTCAGGCCGAGAACAAGTCAACCTTCTTCTGCCTCTAGTGAATGGATGCTGGCCCACGCTGGACAGAGTCACTGCCTTTACTCAGCCCACCAATTCAAACATTAATCTCGTCTAGAATCGCCCTTTCTAGACGACACACACAGAAATAATGTCTAACTAGTTATGTGGGTGTCTCATAGCCCAAACTGACACATAAAAGGAACCATCACAGTCCCAAATTGGAAAAATAAAAAGGAAAACAACAGGGGAGCATTGTAATAACCTATAAACATTTACTATTATAATATAAAGGAAATTAATATTTTCTATATGGGCAAACTCAGATCTGACTGGACAGATGGTAAAGCATAGAGCAGATGGTTTGCACAAGGGAAAATACAAATAATGAACTGACGCTGGGAAGGCTGTTTAGCTTCCCTAATAATTAAAGAATTGCAAATTACAATAACCTAATATACAATCTTATACATATTAAATTATTAATGGCAGGTTTTTTAAACCAAAGTTAATTGTCCTTTGGGGACTCAGGTATACTCATACACTGAGTATTAGTACGTGGCATCATTTTTCCGGAAAGAAATCTGACAACACAAAGATCACCGAACTTTGGCACATCTGCTTTGGATAGCAAATCCTAAGGAGAGAGTTCAAGAAGGGGAAATACCCAATTTTTGCAAAGGTGTTTATAGCTATGCTTTTCACAATAATAGAAGAGGCTAAAATCATCCACAGCCAGGAAATGGCTGCAGAAATCTTGACACAGAAATACAGTGAAACATTATATAGCCATTAAAACATCAAATATGAGGATTATCGGGGTTTATGGCATGATCTCTGTGAAATAATGTCGAGGGGAAAGGTAGAAAACAAAATAGGTGATACCCAAGAATAATAACACGTAAACGCGTGCGCTGTGAAACCGTGTTCTGAAGCATAAAATTTTGGAGAAGATACTGTTTTTGGTGAAAAGATACAGTTTTGGGACTTTCAAAGGATTTTCTTCTTAATTTTACAAATGCTCATATTCCTTTTGGAGAAATTAGAAAATAGAGGTGTGCAAAAATTTCTTAAGCACTATCTCAGAAATCTTACTGGTAATACGTGGTATATATTCTTTTAATCTTTTTCATTTATACTTTGGTTAATATGTTTTAAACATTTCCCTTTCTCCTCGACCTGTACTCTGATTTTTCATTAAAGAATAAACTCCTCCCCAACCTGGGTAACTGTATACTGCCCACCCCATTCTCAGTTATATCATTTGGATAGGATGGGTTTAGAGCAAGGTTTCTCAACCTCAGAACTTCAGACATTTGGGGACAAATAATCCATTGATGTGTGTTGGAGGGAGGGTGGGAAACCGTTATTCAATGAATGCATTGTAGAGTATTTAGTAGCATTCCTGGCCTCTTACCCACTAGAGGCCAGTAGCATCCCTCCTCCAGTTGTGACATTGACAAATGTCCCCTGGGGGCAAATTCACCCTCGGTTGGGAACCATTCTCGGGGTTACAAATAACTGTATCCTAAAACCCTTTAAACTATCGTTTAGGGTCTTTTTCAATCTCACGTAAGAAGTGTCATATTGTTGGTACGCTTTGACAACCTGATGTTATCATTCAGCATTTTATTTTTTAAAGATGTATTGAGATAGATAGACAGACAAATATAGATTTAGTTCATTCCTTCAACTGCTGTATAGAATATATTGTATCGATAAACCAGAGGATTTTCGTTATTCTACTTAGAGAACACAGGATGTTTTCATTCTGCAGCTATTCCAAACCATGCTACCATGCTACGAATGCATAACTTTGTACAAACCCTGTTCATGTGGGATTTCTCTAGTCTAGACATCTAGAAGTGACATTGCTAGACGGAAGAACAATGCACCCTCAGCATTTTCAGGCCTTCCGTATCGCTCTTCAGAGTGGTGGTACCAACGTGTACCAGCCCCTGTTTCCCCACATCTTCGTCAACATTTAGTATTACGCGATTTACTAATTTTTCCCAATGTAATGGGTACAAAATGGGGTTTCATTAATTTTTAATTTTCATTTCCTGGGCGGTTAATGGGGTTGAGAATCTTTTCAGACCCTTACTACCCACTGAGTTTCCTCTGTCTGTGAATTGGGTGCGTTCTGGTCTCTTTTTCTTTTAGATTGTTTTTCTTTCCATTAAAGCTCGTTAGAATTCTTTGTAATTAGGCATACTGATTTGTTTTGTGATTGTACGGGTTTCAATTGTTTTCTCCCATAATGTGAATTGGATGTTTACCTTGCTCATATCTTTTGTACGGAAGTTTTCACTTTTAAGTAGTCAAATGATCTACCTATACCTTTAGAGTTTGTTTATATCCTCTTATGTGTTTATCCCCTTATGTTCATGGGTTGGGCGGGTCTAATGTTCCACAAACAGTATACACGGTTGCAATCATACTGTGTGTACCCTGTTCCCACTTGCTTTTCTTATATTTTGTTTTCAAATTTTACCTGTATGGCTTTTAAAAATCTATTTCATTTATTTGAATGGATCTTTTGTAATAATGACATTCTCTTATGTTATCTTCTGAAGCTTAAAGTTTTATTTTTCACATTTGAGTTTTTGGCCCTCTTGAAATTAACTTTTGCGTATGAAGTAAGGGTCTAATTTTGTCTTTTTCTACACGGAAAGTCAATTGTCAGAACTACTTATAAATGTTCATTTTTTTTTTTAAGTTTATTTATTGGTCTTGAGAGAGAGAGAGAGAGAGCACGAGCAGGGGAGGGGCAGAGAGAGAGAATCCCAAGCAGGTTCCACGCTGTCAGTGAGGAGCCCAGTGCGGGCTCCTACTTACGACGCGTGAGATCATGACCCACGCTGAAACCAAGAGTCAACCGCTTAACCAACTGAGCCACCCAGGCGCCCCTAAATGTTCATTTATTAAACCATTTATTAAAGAGTCTATTCTGTTCCACTGGCCTATATGTTTATCTCTATACCAATATCACACTGTTTCAACACTGTCATTTTATTTTGTTCAATACTATAATTTTATATTACGCTTTAATTTAGCAAATATAAATCTCCTTTCTTCAAAAATGTATTGGCTATTCTTGGCTTTTCATTCATCTAAGTAAAATACAGAATCGCCTTCCATGTATTTAACTGCATGAAAATATCTCTATTGGAATGTTGGTTGGAATTGCATTGAATTTATAAACTAAGGGGTAGACAATTTCTATTTTTGATAATGTTGATAAAAGTAATGTAGCTCTTCATTTATTTAGGTTTTCTTTTGTATTTTTCCATAGTCTTCTGTTACTATCAGTAGAAGTGTTGCCATACTTTGTTTGCTACGAGAAACTTGGTAGCTTTGGTGGCTATTGTATGTTTAATTACATATTCTCATTATTTACTGTTTGTATATTTGAACGTAATTTTGGCATATCAATATTTTACCCAGTAATCTTTCCAAACGTTCTTCTTATATTCAATAGTTTGTCTTAAAGTTTCTCGAATTGTCTATGAAAACAATCTTATAGTTACATCATCTTTCTTTCTTTCTAGTCTTTATATCTTTAGTTTCTTATTGTGCTGGTTTCGACCTTCATAAATGTTGGACAGATATATTGACAGCAGGCACCCTTTTTTGTTCAGACTCTAGAAGAAATGCTTCTGACATTTCTCCAATATACATGACGGTTGTTGTAAATTTTTGGTAATCTTTACTAGGATGGAAATGCTCCTTTCTATCCCTGGGATACTAAGAGTTTTTATCCTGAATGAGCGTTGACTTTTATTTGTTGGCTTTCCTGTATCTACTGAGATGATCATGTGGCCTTTCTTTTTTACTATGTTAATAGTACCGTATATTACAGTTAATATTACAGTAATAGTTTTTCTACCAGTAGCAAACCATCGTTGAGATCAGCTCAGCTTGGTCGTGACGTATTTTTTACACATTGTTAGATTGCCAATATTTTATTTAGGATTTTCACATTTATATTCAAAATTGAGTTTACTTTGTTGTCACCCTTTCTCGTGGTGTCGTTGGCTGGTTTTAACATCAAATTTATGATAGCCTCACCAAATAAGTCTAGAAGCTTTTATGTATATTGCTCAAAATCAATCGATGTAGCTATGTATCATAATTTTAATGGTTTCCCTGTTATTTGGACGTATCATAATTTATTCATAAATTGAAGAAGACACCATGTGTAGTTTGTCAGTAATTTTAATTGTGAGGATGGTAAATAATTAATAA